GCATGCCAAACCTTGTATGCATTATTTTTCCCTCACCCATTTCCTATCAACCAGCTATTTACTGTGATTGTGTGTGTAAACACAAATGCATCAAGTCATGATGGAAAAAACAAAGAATTTCCATGAGATGGACCTGGGGTAAGCTAGGTACATCTCTTTGCAGTTCTGGAAACTCAGAAATAAACAGTTGATATCCCTGGGATTTGATTTATTTATTCTGTAGAGTGAAGCTACATAACCTGCCAGTTAGTATGATGACTAAGACTAAGCTCAGACTCAGGACCTTGATTCATAATCTCACTCAATACATATTATTTACCTGAGAATATAATATCTGTAATTAAGACAAACTACTTAGACTTTTAGGCAAGGGAGCAGCATAGTTGACATACATCTTGATTCGGATATCTATATAGAGCAGAACTGAGAATTTTTTCACTTAACTAAAGATTCATCAGCAGTGATATGGTGTTGCTGGTGCTCATATCTGGGGAAACAGAGTGCTGAAGTCATATTTCTAACGATTATATTTTAAGGAGATCTGACCATCGCAGCCCCTGGGCACAGTGTATCAGGGACAGCCAGTCTTCTGATGGTAAGAGGAATAATGCTGCCTAAAGACTGTCTGACTCAGATATCTCTGTATTTTACTGTTTCTTTTTTTTTCTTTTTTTTTTTAAAGATTTATTATTATTTATGCAAGCATGGGGAACAGTCAGAAGTGGGGGAGGGTGAGAGAATTCACCAGAGCCAGAGTGGGAAACACAACAGGTAGACTGACGAAGTACACTGGCTGAGGGAATGGCGGCATGCTGGAGAGGTCTGCTTGCCATGTGGGACCCTCGCCCGGTGGCCTGGATCGAAGAAGTGCTGCAGAGGCTGCGGGCAGCTTCGCAGCCCAGCGCTCAACCACTGTGCCACCAGGGGAGGCCTTTTTTTACTGTTTCTTATTAACAAAAATGCCCATGGAAAGTGAAGCATAATAGAGGCAAAATATCATAGGGCTACCTCGGTAGAAGATTCTGTTGTGCCTTTTTCAGTTAAAATTTCACATACACATGTAGGGTCAGGATAGACAGATTTTAACATTCTCCAGAATATCTAAAAAGAAAAAATAAAGGTAATTACAATCTTAATTCTGTGAAGTGATTGCATGTTAGGGATCAAGGGAGAAAAGAATCAGTGATTAAAAATTAGGACATATGAATCTTATGACAGAGTAGAATTTTCTAAGACACCATGTCCTTTCCATATACTGCATGCCTACTTTTCTTCCCTATTCCCTCCCTCTATTTTTACTTCTAAGAATACCTTGAAAGATTTACCTTAATGTATTTCATTCAGAGCTCAATCCTCTAGAGACTTTAGGGGTATATATTCCTTTTTTTTTTTTTTTATTAAAGTTCCTGGAATTTTTTCTTCAGAATTGAGTTTAGTAAGCCACTTATCACTCCACACTTTAGCCCAATTAGGATTTAGGTTAAATCAGACTAAGCACTCTTTTGTGGCTGCTCCTACCAAACCCCAATTCTATCTATGTCAGCAGATTTTCTCCTCCTAATGCATATGCCCATTATTTATCCCCATAGCAGTCCATTAGTTGGCTCTGGGTAGTTACTATTCTCAACTACCTTCAATCTGAGCTATTCAAGCTATTTTCCCCTCATCCAACTATCTCATTCCATTTTGCCATATTTGCTGATCTTGTGAATCAGTTTCTATATTATATTAAGAAATGTCTTAAATGCCAGTGAGACTATATGTTGTTTGCTCTTATTCCCTCTAAATAAAAACTTCCTTGACCTTCGTACAGTAAATTTTATCCGTTTTGCAATACATGGCTTCTTTTCAATAAATCAGCATTGTATATAAATATATATATTTATAAATATAATTATAACTTATATTTATTTTATATTAAAATATTTATATATATATATACTATATTTATATACACTATATTTATATATATTTAGTATAATAATGTCTGTATATACTCTTATTCTTTCCAATCTTCAGGTTTCTTTTTAGGGAAAATTCTGATTTTTAGACTTTATTGGATTCGATTTGCCTCCACAGAAACTTTATAATTAAAGCCTGAGCATACATTTAAGATATTTTCAATATATATTGATTTTATCTATTTTATCTATTAAAACTCATTTTATATAGTCAAGATATTTTCTTACATTGACTGACAAGTGATAGAAGTTAAAACCCTTCCTGAGAATTTTCCAGTGAACCATTTCCAAAGGTAAATGTGTCATCTGATAACTCTCTTGCTTGAGCAACTAAAAAATGGTGTCTAAATTTTATTAGTGACAACTTTGAAGCATTAACTTATTTTGAAGTGATTGCACTTTACTCAGTGACTAATCCAAGTCTAGACATCTGCTGTAAAAGTGTTTTATTTGAAAACACCTTTTTGGTGTTTTCTGAACAGAGCTGCCTGCCATCTATTGGTGGTTCTCTTGAATTGCAGGATCCACTCATTTATTGATCTTTAGTATCACAACACAAATCTAAGACACAAAACTTAGTTTTGACCATCTTAACTAATATTAGTAAAAACTCTATAATGACTGCTCATATGCATAATTGAAGCTACTATGTCATAATATCACAGAAACAAATTGACAGATGATTTTAGCTGAATTTAATCACACTGATTCTAAGTGTAAGAGAATAAAAATCACAGCCATTGCTTGAGGATGATTGCATTTAAATTTTAGGTCACATCATAAATTTTAGGTCACATCAATGTCTATGCTGGAAACATCTAATAACACTGAGCGGATGGAGTTTTTATTCTGATAGGATTTTTTAAAAGATTAGAATATGTTAATGGATTTTCACTGTACACTTGTCATTTTATAACCTGGTACTGTATCTCCAGAAAGCCTGAAACCTAAGGCTGCTATGAATAGTATGCCTGGAAAATGGGTTTTGAGTGACTCATCTCTCAGTAAAAAGCAAAATGACTGCATTGCCACCAGTTGCTTACCTGTCATAGACAGACAGTCTCACAGTTGGAGTTTCCAGCATGGCTGAAAGCTTCTAGGCAAATATTCAAACTGAAAATAACAGCAGTAACAACTGGGACATGTCTGGAAGGACTTAATGCGATCTCTATGATCAGAGTGTCATTAATATGAAGACTTACAGGCCAGGGCATCATGGACCTTGATCAGGCTGTGCTCCTTGCCCTGGAGGACGGACTTCAGTGCAGTTACATTTCTGTATCTGTGGGAACAGTAAATTGTATTCTATCATTTATTTCCACTAAATTCTTTCAATCAATCACATTGCTATCTCTTTTGTAAAAAAAAAAAAAAGAAAAGAAAAGAAATTGCAAGTACTTTTCTTCCTTTTAGACAAACAAAGATGTGGAGGCATGGATGCCTTTGGCATCATTAAGAAATTGAAATCAGCAAAGACCTGTGAAGAGGGCATCCATTATTTCCTGCCATGTCCTGGATATATCCAAACCTGAAGTTTCCTGTGCAGTATATTTGTTCTTAAACTCTATCCCCTGTAAATCCTGGACATAAATGAAAATACTACATGGTTAAACCAGACTGTATCTTAACTTTAGTGTATATAATCTTTTTCCCTTCCATGACTGCAAAAATATGTAACTGCTGAATAATTCATTTTCACTTGGAACCAATCATTCTCTATCAACCACACTTGATTAATTTTCTACCTAGACCCTCCCGCCCCCTGTTAGGCAACCATAGCTAGCACAGCAACTCAAAAAAATTCAAAGCAATGACTGATTCATGTTTCAGTGTAAATGGCAGTGTGTTGCTCTATGAATTTTTATATCTTTGATGCTAGAGGATTTGGTTTTTCTATATGTAATGTTATTCTGAATACCACAGAAACAAAGGTCCAGAAAACAGTTTTTATGTTTACCATTTTGTTTTCATGTGGTATACTTGGGACTACCCATTATATCAGATTAAGGAGGTTTCTTTCCCTTTTCCCTAATGTACTACATATTATAATTTCCCCTATTACTGATTTATAATGAGATTTAATTAGCAGAAAAGGAATTTAATATGTTCCACCTCATTAATAATAAAGGAATAAAATTAAAATTGCATATTTTTAAACTTTCACATTGACAAAAATTAAAAGCAAAATTTTAATATCTAGTGTTAAAAAGCATGTAGTAAGAAGGATAATCTCATTTGCTGAAGGCAGTTATTTAAGTTGGTGCAAATTTTGTAGTGTGAATTTTAACAGTGTTTATCAATACCCTAAAATGTGTTCATGCCTTAACCTTATTCATAAATGTTCTAGCAATTATTTTCAAAATTATGAGATAAATATGCAGATATTTACATATATTTTACCATAATGAGATTTTGTAATATTTTGTATGCTATGTACACATACTATACAATTTAAATTATAAATGTAGTAGTAAAGTTAGAAATTCAAGATTTCTAAACAGTGGAGGATGATTAAACTATGGCATATCCTGATGATAGAATATTATAGATACATCACTCATAGAGCAATGTCAATAGCACATAGCTATTGCTCGAGATTTATAAATAGAAACTAACAGAAATATAGAACTTATAATAGTCTTACCACTGACTATTTCTAAGTAATGAAATTGTCATCATCCTTATTTTTTATTTTAATTTTCTTTGAAACTCTTACAATTACTTTATGACTCAGAAAAAAGTGTTGTAACAATCTGAAGAAATTGTGCAAAATGCAAAGAAGGAGTCAAATATTTTCCATTCCTTATGATGGCAATTCCCAAAGTTCCTGAGGCTTTCCGGGTGCTTACTATTGCTGGAAGGATGGGGAGCCTCCCTATTTGGGTTTGTCAGCCTCAGCAGTGTGTGCCAGGCAGTCACATGTTGTTGTTCCCACCTTCCAGTCACTATCGGAAGCCCAGGAGAGCCTGCAAGCTTGGCTTTGGACAGCTGTGGTGTGTCCCATCTGATGTAAGACATGAGGGTGGGCCACTGATGTATTTCCTTCAGGAAACATAGGCTGTGGCATTTTCTTTTCTCCCCCAGGACTTCATTCTTTTTTTTAATTAATTTATTAATTTATACAAGCACTGGGTACAGTCAGAAGCGCGGGAGGGTGAGAGAATTCACCAGAGCCAGAGCGGGGAGCAGAGCAGGCAGAAGGACCGAAGTACACTGCTGAGGGGAGCAGCGGGCGGCAGGAGAGGTCTGCGCGCCATGTGAGACCCTTGCCCGGTAGCCGGGGATTGAACTGGCACTGTAGAGGCCGCGGGCTGCTTCACAACCCAGCACTCAACCGCTCTGCCACCGGGGAGGCCCAGGACTTCATTCTCTATGTCTCTGACTTTGTGCCTCGCTTGAGCTTCTTCTTCCTTGCAAATCTTCATCTGCTATCATGGTCCCATCACTCTGAGGCTTCCTTTGTGGTATCTTAGTCTGCATTTTTATGGCTACACGCCCAGATTTTTGTGTCATACCTCTTTAGAGCACCATTAGTCAAGCCTGCTGGCAACTCTGCTCTTGATATTAGAATGGTTCTTTGATATAACAGATAGCCACCCCCTTATCAATATCATTGTAAAGCTCCCCAATGCCAATTTTTTCATATTAATATTATTTTTATTATGCAGGCATTTTAAACATATTTTTCAGAGTCCTGCTATGATTTATCTTATTGCATCAAATTGTAAAAATTGCCTTTTATCCTAGATTAAAAAAAAATAATCCATACTATTTCAGTGAGAGGATATGTTATAGATTGTGTAAGGGAAAGCCATGATCTCTGGGAGTTGCTCTAGAAGGAAGGAGATGTATTTTCATAATGTTAACTGCTTTGGGGCTTTCAGTGGTGAAATATCACCATGTGGCCCAAGAGCTGGGATTGATAGGAGGGTCCTAACTTGGTGACAAGATGAAAGGATACAAGGCTTACCTGGGGAGATAAGCTGCCCCAGAAGTCGATGGCTAACCACACACTGTGTTGAGGAGCAGCTCTTGAGAGAATCCTCTGAACTGGTATGGCCAACAGATGCTGGGAGTTAGAATATTTTATATTCAGTTTCAATTTTCAATTATTTTCCACAATGTCATTTCATTATTTCATATTTCAGTTTCAGGCTGAAGCATTATCTAAGACACCATGATATGAGGGATGTCCCATACATCTTTTAAAGGTGAAGTTGGTCAAAGAATGCTTGAATGGTAGACTCCTTGACACCCAGAGTATAATAAGCAAGGGAGCCCTAAGTACACTCAGAAGTAATTGAACAAGAGATTAGTTTGCCTGAAGTCATATAGAATGAGGTTCAGTTTATTCATACTTAAATAGGAGGGTCATTTCAGAAGGATGCATGTCATTTCAGCACGGGCCCACTTGTGTTATATTTTTTGGTCAACCGTTTAGCAGTTTTAGCCACAAAAGGTTTTAAATAGACATCCTTTCCCCTTGACTTCTGTATTTTACTTGGTCATAACCTTACGTCATGCCACACCCACGGCATATTCAAGGCACTTCAAATAGGTGAGCTGATGTGGAGTGAAGTGAGCAATGGAAATTGCTAGAGCCATAAGGGTTGTGTTTTACAGGCTCACTTAGTCTATGCCAGAAATTTGGATTTTATTCTAAGAGGATACCACTGAAGATTTATAAATATGGGAGGGGTATTATCTGATTTATGTTTCCAAAAATATTCCACAAGTTGTTCTTGCAATTGTTATCCATGATTTTTGGGGAATTAACATTTCCCCTTGTGCAAGTCAGGATAGTCTGTGATAGGTGAAAATAATTCTGAAATTTCAGTGGTTTAATACAACAAAGATTTATTTTCCTCTCATATAAATTTATGTAGGTCAGGCATCTCTCCTGCTGCATGATTAGAACATGTTCTCCCCAAGGACCCAAGGCGCCTTAGCAAAGAAGACAGAAGACACTGGTTTATAGCACATTTGCCCACATCCTGTGGATACCCAACTCAGTCCTATGGCATCAAACTCCCAACAAGGGAGACTAGGAAACATCTTCTTGGTGTCTAAGGAGAGGAAACATTCTTGCCAAACTCTTTGAGCCAAGACAGCTCTGATTTATTGTCCTTGGAAACATAGAAGCTGGTAAACAGCTTATCCTCCATTTTAGGGCCAGTGAGAGGGGACGTGCAGGTCTTCGCAGGGTCTTGGCATCAACAAGTAATCTGGAACTTCGTAAATCTGATTATAATTCCAAACCCGCGCAGCCCTGCTAGTGGATGGGGGATCCTCATACAAAGATGATTATTCCCTAGCCATCCTGGATGAAATTTTCCTAACTGTGTCCAAATGGGATTAACAAGTCAAAGAAAACTCTCTAGGCCAGAACCGAGGATAATAAACATCCCACATACATCACTTCCCAAAAGGTGAGGTGCTCAGCCTGGATGGACTAAACTACAAGCAGCTGAATCTTTTTCCTCTATTAAGTCTATTAAGTGAAAAATTGCACTTCTCCACCGAATTTTCTACACAACACAGATTTTCCTCTCAAGAATCGGACACTTCCTAAATTAGGATCACAATGGGAGATGTATGATTATTATAACTTATAAAGTACATGCTGCTGAGACGGTTATGACATGGATACTGGTGATTCTGAGAGTATTTATTAATTGCTCTCTCTCTTTCTCTCTCTCTCTCTCTTAGGCAGTGTGATAAATTCTTTAGAATATATTCTTATCTTAATATATTCTTAATATATAAAATATTCTTAATATATACTTTAATATATTCTTAATCCTGACTTGTAATACGAACTACTAAAATGTTGAAGCTGAGGAGTAGGAAGGTCATGTCCTCTTCCTGGTAACACAGCTTGTAATAAACACTGAGGCAAGATTCAAGCTCTTGGGTCTCTAGCTCCTAACTTCATGCTCTTCATCAGAAGAAAAGGATAAAATTGATGCTCTGCCTATTTGATTCATCAACATACAAATAATTAGGTTAAAATTTTCACAGCATTCACTAATCTCCCTAATACCTAGGATTTTAGAATCAATAGTTTGCCTTCTTTATGACAAGCAAATTGAGCCTATATTAACTTTTATGAGACAAAAATATTAGATATTCAATATAAATATTCTTACAAGTTATATATGCTATGGAAGCCTCAGTAGGCACACACCTTCTCTGATAGCATCAACCCCTCAGACAATCAGCCTTCCCAGGCCATGTTTGTCCCGGAATCTCTAGTATTGCTATGCAAATAGTATGCTGTCAACAAATGTTTGTTTGCTAGGCCAATTCATATTTCTCCAAGTGCATGCTTTAAACATGGTTGAAAGCATAAAGGCATATAAAATATGAATATCTTTTGAAAAAATAATAAGATGTGTGCTTTTTTGGTACTCAGAGTATTTTTGTTTTACTTTATTACAAATATAATGCATGATCATTGTGAAAAGCCAAAATACTAATATGCTTTGTATAGAATATATATATATATACACACACTCTATATATTATCTTTCTATGTATATACACATACACACATATATAAATACATATATACACATACAAATAATATATATACACATTCTATATATTCTCTCTATGTATACACACATATATACAGATAATAAAATAAAATTACACAGTTTGTAATTTTATATTTCTCATTTGATTTCCTATCAGCTATTGTTTAACTAAAATATATATTTTTCTGATAGCTTATGGCTAGCCTGTAAACTTTTCATAGTTAATTTTTGTTATAGTTTCCTGGAGAGAAACATGTGAAATCAACTCTAAACATCCCTGTGAAATAGTTTAATAAGTTGTACTGATGTGGCAATAAAATATTCTTGCCTCAAAAATCAACAAGGAGGTTCAAACGTGAGATTATTTTTTTACATCTAATATATAAATAGTAGATTTATGCAAAAGTTCCATTGGTAAATAGTCAAAGAAAACAAAGTCTCTTTGTTATGAATGCAGGCAAAACTAAGAAAAATAATTAAACAATCATTTAAAAACCCATAAACACAGTGCTTGCACACACACACAGAGTCTCATTAACTTCAAACCATAAGAAATTAATTACAGATTCACTGCTAATGAACATATGGGATAAGTGCTGACACTCAACTGGTTCAGTTCAGTGATCACAGAAGCAAAGCAACACTCACAGACGGATGGTGGGGGAATCGTCAGTGAGTGGGGGCCAGGAAGCAAGATTCCTTCATAACTATGGAAAATAGTTCCAAAATATTCAGACAGAGAGAAAAGGGCTCCAAAATTCATCCCATTCTGAATATGAACAGACCTTCTCCATCACTACCACCTGCTGCCTCTACCTCTAGAAAAAGCTGAAATGTCTGAGTGGAGGGGAGAGGATAGGCAGGGAGGCATTGGCAAAAAATATGGGTGCACAGCAATACTACCCCCTAGAAAATAATAAAGAGGAAAAGGAAAAGAATATCTAAAGGAGGCCCCTAAGCCAGAATCATATAGTTATCTATACTGAGATGCCATGAGTTAAGTCAAAGAGAAATCCACTGAGAGACTGCAGAGAAGTTAAGGTGGTGATTCTATATGCCCTTTTCTACTTAAATATGCTGACAATTTGAAACACCCTCTGTGAACTGCAGACCATGCAGACACCGAGTTACAATGTCAAACTCAAAAGACATCATGGCAGCTGGATCAACACCACTTTGTCTTTAGGACGGTCAACTCACTGAAAACAGAAGGCAGCTATGTGGGGCTTTTTATCTATCAGGAAGATGTGAAATTAAGTAACACCACCTGGAGTTATAAAATAGTGAATGCCTCCTATATCACTTGGGATAATCAAATTCCTCCCTATTTCTATTCACATCCAAAATCGTCAGTTTATTATTCATCACCTGTGATGTATGCGTTATTCATGATTAAATATTTATCAATTCATGGTGGTGGCTCTTCCTATTGAATCACTCTCCTGTTATTCACTCATTTGTGTTTAGATCCATTGAAGATGTCTTGATTTGTCTATGAGATGGGTGAATCCTAAACATTTTGTGCCTACATTCATTACCTATCATTTACAGCCACTTTTAAGCAATTGTTCTCTAGATCTTTTAACTTCCTTTAGAATGAAGTCCCTTTAATATTCTTCTTTGGTCTAGAATAATTTTCCATCAGCTTTTATGACCTCTAACTTTATGCTGATGAACATTTTCATCTTAATGTGGGCACTAATAAATTCATTTAGCTTCTGGTTATGATTTTCATCTTCCCATCTGTTAGAACTTTACCAATCTTGAAAACCAAATCAGACAGACTTTCATTTATAGGCAAAGTTAGGCAATAATAATAATCAAAGAATTTAATTTATTATATGGATTTTTAACTTTTTTCCAGAATTACATAATAGCATTCATAAAAAAAACATAATTTAAATAATGTTCAATGGACTCTAAATAAAAAACCATGATGAATTTTATACTATCCTTTAATGAGAAGTTGGAATATTTTATTTTTTCTTCTGATAAAATGAAAGGCAGCTGTAGCTAAGGCACTTTCCAAGTAAATCTAGAAGTTTATGAAAGTATCATTATATGAAGAATACTATTATACAAAGTAGGTAACTTTTACACATTTCAGATAAATAGAACTAACTGGGGGAGTTTAATCATTACTCTGTTGATGTTGAGAAAATACAGAGTGATGGCTGAGGTGATGGCCTTTAAAATTTCACTGCTGGAAGATTCAAATCCCAATGTCTCCACATGCCAATAAGCAACGATGCCTCACTTTCCTTTTACATAAAATAGGAGAAAAGTTATTAGAAGGAAATTATCTTTAGAATTGAGAGGCATAATGGCATTATTTATGTAAAGTTCATAGTCTGTAATGTGACAAGCACTCAAGGAATGCTGGTATCATTACTTGATAAATGAATTTAAAGCAAGGGAAGAAACCTGTTCTAAAAGGAGGTGTGTGTGTTTGGGGGTGGTGGTGCAGACAGGTGGTGTAGGAAGGAGATTTGGACCTTATCCTGAGATGGGAATGCTGTT